CAGTACGTTGTTTATGAAGGACTTTGTTTACTTTCCAAGGCTCGTGTACCGGTTTAAGAAACTCCGTGGCAACCACTGGTAGAATTAGTTTCCAAAGGAGATGGGCGTTTTCAAAGACGTCCGGACTCTAGTATTGTTCTATACGATCCATAAGTTCCATTTTTTCCATGAAAGTTCCTTTATTAACTTCACAGGCTACATCCATCTTGTTTAATAAGGCTAATTTGTTGCACAATTCACACATTGTCTGAATTTTTCAAAAATTAAGTAGAGAGAATAAAAAGAGAGAACAAAAATATATGTATTACTTCTTAGCGGAAAAAAAACTATGAAGCTGAAGGGGTTGTTCTATTCGGTTGAATTACTCAAGGTTGAGGTACTTTTTCATTCTGAGTCTTTGTTGCGGTGGGGTTCAGTAGATTTATAGTTTTATGATTGTGATTTGGTCGTCACTTATACTTCGGTTTTCACCGTTTACTGAGGTGTATAGTATTGTTGATTGGAACACGTTTAAAGCAACTAATATTTATTCAAGCAAGGATTTAAATGAACAATTAAAGCACGATAAAAGTTAGCAAAGCAAGATTTCAAGAACAAGTTAAGAATCGAGGAAGAGCGGAACAGATCGAAAGTAGATTAAATGCGTTTGAAAATAAGAACGATTTGAAGCGTTTACTCACAGTATTCATACTATCTAAGATGACAGGTGGTGTTTTGACGAGAGAAATCGAGAAGAAGAAATCAATCTAACATCAAAGCATCATTACGTTTGATTAATTGTTAAGAATATTTTTGCTTTGGAATATCCAAATTATTCCGGCGGCTGAGAAGAGAATAGTGAATGCCATTGTCCAACGAAGTATGGCCTTTTCCTTTTCCAAAGATTCAACTCTTTTAGATGGCTCCTCAATGGATCTCAGGAATTCAGTAGCTACAACTGGCATAACCAGTTTACGAAGAAGTGTGTTGGATTCAAAGACTTCTGGTATATAATATTTTTTGATCCTATCAAGTAGTTCCATTTTTTCCATAAGGCTTCCTTGGCTCAGTTCACAAGCTGCATTCATCTTGTTTAGCAGGGACATCTTGTTGTATATTTCGTGCATTTTCTGCGGCTTTTTAGCGTAGAACTAAAGCAAACAAATATAATGACGGTATAGAACATAATGAGAAAAGAACAATAACTAAACTAGTGAGACTGATCTAGTTCTTTCCCCTTTTTAAATGGTTATATTACACTCTATTGAGTGTTACGCCTCTTTCTTGAGTTACACAACAGTTTGTTGTGTGCTCCTCTGCATCGTACACATTTGAAGGCACACGGATTAGGGTGCTCAGGTTTGAGGCAGAGAATACACTTTCTTAGGTCCGAAAATCTCTTAGTCCTCTGAATAACATCCGAGAAATTCTTACAAGCATAAGATGGATGGTTTGGTCTTCCGGACAAAATACGCAGATAGTCTGCTGTGGCTTTAGTTGCTCTATTGTAGTGTTGAGCTTAGCGTCTAGTGCATTTATTGCACTAGATCTCTTTAGTTCGTCTCCAGCTTATTCTGGCTTGATTCAGCAAGTTAACACTTCTGCTGTATTG